AGAGTCTGGGGAAGGCAGAAAACGGCCCTCCCTTAAGTTCTAGAAGTCTGGAAATGGGCCTGTTTCTGGCTTCCGGAGGGCCTCTGCAGCCTGGGGGATGCTATTTTCGCTTTCCCAGAGGCCTGAGGGAAGCCTCCGGACTCTGGGGAAGGCGGAAAACGTCCCTCCCTTAAGTTCTAGAAGTCTGGAAATGGGCCTGTTTCTGTTTCTGGCTTCCAGAAGGCCTCCAAAGCCTGGGGGACGCTGTTTTTGCCTTCCCAGAGGCCCGAGGGAAGCCTCCGGACTCTGGGGAAAGCAAGAAAAGGCCCTCCTGGAAGTTCCAGTAGGCCACACCCACCATGACCACACCCCCCCCAGCCACCGGGCAGAGAACCAGTTGCTGGGATTTTTGAATCCCACCCCTGCTCAAACGGCTCGCAGCCCGGGCATGGCTTCGCCAACGGACCTGTATACCTAAGAATTCGTTTGTCCTTGGATATTTGCTCCTCTGTCATATCTTGCTTCTCTGTTTATGTTGCATCTGTGACTCTTGATTCTGACCTTCTGGATGCTGAGTTCTGGTTCTGACTTCTGCCGCATGGGTATTGTATACATGCATCACCCGGTATGGTATGGTATAGCAAGACATTCCTTCTATAAAATGAATCCTTGCCTGTGTGCTGGTGGGATCGCCGCAAAGACTAACATAGAGTTGTCCACCTTCCAAATCCTCCCTTCCTTTTCTGAAAAAAATAATCAGCCTTAAAAGCATTTGACGTGCAAATAAATGAAATATCAATGGAAAGCATTTGATTGGGTCGTGTGGGATTCTTGAATGATGTCCCGGTGAGGTCAGTCCATGGCTTTTTACGGGTTGAGAGATTGTGAGAGAAAGCAGGAAAGGAAGTAAGAAGGAGAGGACCTACATCACTTCACGGAATAACAGAATTGGAAGGGACCTCTGGAGATCTTCTAGCCCAACCCTCATGGACAATACAAGGAATACATTTCTGAAGTAGAATTTTAACACAAGACTGACGATCGATAAGACAGATCCAGACAGTTCCTCGACTTACAATCACTTGGGACCGGAATTAACGTTGCTAAGTAAAGCAGTTGTTAAGCGATTTGCACCCAGTTTTTTCACCATGGGTAACCTTCACAAGCAAAGGCAATGGGAGAAGCCGGATTTGCTTAACGACCGTGTGATTCGCATAACAACTGCAGTGATTTGCCTAACCGCCATTGCAAAAAATAATAATAATTGTAAAAATCATGGCTCCCTTAACAACCACTCAGTAATGGAAACGTTGGGCTCAGTTGTGGTCACAAGTTGAGGACTCACCGCCATGTGTTTTGTGACCATTCAAAGTTACAGCAGCATCGAAACAAATAACTTATGACCGTTTTCCACATTTATGACCATTGTAATATCATCATAGATCCAAATTCAGTTGCTTGGCAATTGATTGGTATGTCAGGATTTTGGTAGTTCCTCCCAATTAAATCATGAGCCTCGAGCCAAACTTCCAAAACTTCAAAAGGATTTATTAGGAGTAAACATGCCAGCACTGCCTGGGTGTAGCCGACTCTGAGGCACATCATTCATGGTCACCCTTGACCCAGGTTTTCCCTCCATCCCTCTGAGTGTATCGTAATTCATATTCTCCAATGGGACACCTCCATAGCCAAGAGTCATCAATCGTGCCCTCCAGTTAGATATTTGCACGGCAGAAATTTCAGTCACCTAGTTACAATCTCTGAAAAAACCATGTGTGGAATGCACTTTCGATTTCCAAGCTGCCGCACTACTCTTTCAAACCCCTTTCTCCCCCTCCCTTGCCTAAAATGGGGCAAAACTCACTTGACAAATGTTCTCACTTAAGAACAGAAACTTTGGGCTCGATTGCAGTCACAAGTCGAGCCCGTTAAAAGCCACGACGGAAATGCTTGCGGCTTTTAAAATTCTCATTAAGAAATCTGCCTGCAAAGGCCTTACTTTAGTTAGTATGTTCACCTACTCCTGCCAGGCTCCAAATCTTCCTCCCACACTTAATTTGCAAGCTGACAAAAATAAGAATCAGGATTCCGGCAGTTCCCCCCAGTTAAATCCTGAGTCTCGAGCCAAATTTCCAAAACTTCAAAAGGATTTATTGGGAGTTAACATGTCCGGCACTGCCTGGGTGGAACCTATTCTAAGATACATAATTCATTGTCACCCTTGACCCTGGTTTTTTTCCCACCCTCTGGGTGTATCATAATTCATATTCTCCAATGGGACACCTCCCTAGCCCAGAGTCATCAATCATGCTCTCCAGTTAGAATTTTGGGCAGCAGAAACTTCAGTCGCCTGGAAACTAACTTTGAAAAGCTATGCATGGAATGCGCTTTCAATTTCCAAGCTGCCGCAACTGCTCTTTCAACCCTCCCCCCACCTTTGTGTTGGCAACTTTAAAAAGATCATAGAACTATTTTATGAGTTGACATCGTATTGATGATGGTCGAATTTGCAACCTTCTGACAAGCAAACTCAATGGGGAAGCCACGTTCACTGAACAACCAGGTGAGTAGCTTAACATCTGCAATGATTCCATCGGAATAGAACTGGAAGGGACCTTGGAGGTCTTATAGTCCAACCCCCTGCTCAAACAGAAGACCCTAGACCAGGGATGGCGAACCTTTTGGTTGCGGTGTGTCGAAAGTGCGTGCGTGCCGGCACCCACAATGCAGTGTGCCTCGCCCCCCTGCACATGTGTGTGCAACACCTCCGCCCCACCCTCTTACATGCATGCACCTCACAGTTGATTTTCAGCCCCTTTGAGGCCTTTTTCGTCCTCCCGGAGGCTCGAGGGAAGCCTCTGCAGCCTCAGCAGGCCGAAAAAATGGGCCTTCCGGAAATACCGGAAGTTCCCATTTTCAGTCTCCGGGGGGCCTCTGGAGCTCGTTTTCACCCTCAAGGGAAGCCTCTGCAGCCTTTGGAGGCCGAAAAGGGGCCCGTTTTGACACGTCCGGTATTTCCAGAAGGCCCATTTTTCGGCCTCCCGAGGCTGCAGCGGCTTTCCGCGAGACTCCGGGAGAACAAAAACGGCCTCAAACGGGGCAAAAATCAGCCGGGAGGCACGCGCATCTGCCGTGCAGGTCAGTTAGACTTGCCATAGGTTCGCCATCACGGCTGTGTACCATTCCAGACGAATGATTGTCCAGTCTCTTCTTAAAAACCTCCAATGATGAAGCACGCACAACTTCTGGTGGCAAGCTGTTCCACTGGTCCATCGTCCTCACCATTAGGAAGTTTCTCCTTAGTTCCAGGTTGCTTCTCCCCTGGAATCGTTTGTTGATTCACTTAGGTTGATTCGCCTAACGACTGCGGCAAGTAAGGTCGTAAAAAATGGGAGGAAAATTCACTTAACGACCGTCTCGTTTAGCGATATAAATTTTGGGCTCCTTCCTTGTGATCATTAAGTTGAGGATGACCTGTCTTGGAAAATTCGTTCCCAATTAATTAATTTTGGTTTCCCAAATTAAGGCATCCCCATCTCTGTCCAGTAGGAGGCAGGCTGGATGCATGGGACAGCACCCACTTCCATGTCCCTGAGTGCATTTGAACCCTGTGTGGGATATGTCGAGGGCTGTCAATCATCCCCTTGCCAAACATCTTCTGGCTTAAACTTTCTTTAATATAAATCTTCCATCTTCCATGAAACAGCTTGTTCGTCTGGTTTCAAACAACTCTGTGCAATAAGCATCAAAATTTACAACAGTACACATTGTTTTGATATTGCCTTTCTAATCTTACAGTCGTAATCGTGTACATGATAAAACTTTCCATATCTCCCTCTTAACATATCTTCTATGTTAAGGCTCATTAATAAGAACAACGAGTCTGCTTATAGAAAGGAAGTACAAAGGCTGACGCTGTGGTGTAAAGAAAATAATCTTACACTTAACACCAAAAAAAAACCTCCTAAAGAACTTATAATTGACTTCAGGAGGAAGAGAGGTGTACATTTACCACTGTACATAAATGGTGAGGAGGTGGAGAGGGTTGGTAGTTTTAAATTTCTGGGCACTTCTATCTCGGAGGACCTCTCATGGACTATGAATGCTAACATGCTTGCGAAGAAGGCACAGAAGAGGCTGTACTTCCTAAGAATTATCAGGAAGATAAATCTATCGTTGATTATTAATATTTTACCTGCGGCGAGAATTGTATTTGCTCAAAATTGGAAAAAATGAGAAAATTCCAACGGAAGAAAACAACGGAATCTGCAGAAATAAGTAGATTGACATTAGCAATTAGAGATCAAGAAGAAAAAGTAATATTATAAGATCTGGGATTTATTTCATCAATGGCTAGATAGAAGAGTGAGAAATTGAAATA